CCAATGGCTGTGGTATTTCTCCTATTATTAGACCAATAGGTCCATACACTGTTGAAATTAGGGGCCTAAGCAATAGGGAGATAGTAACTTTCAGAGACACAACACCGACTACCCCTTGGAGGTCATATTTGCTTTGTGTTGAGGTAAGAGCAAGATTGTCTCCCCCCCGCTCCCAGAGAAAGGGTCTGGCTCGCCTCTCCTCCATCTAACTCTATTTATGCTGTTTGATCCCAGCCCTACTGTCAGTGATTGTGTCCCATAGATATTTCATATATAGGGATTCCATGACAGCCTGGCCTTCACTGCACTGATGTTTTGTGTATCCACTGAAGTTGAAGTATTGCTGAGTCTGGCCTTGAGGAATATGTTCTCCCAAAGTGACATGTAAAATGGTGCAAGTGTGAGAGTAGATAGGGCAGTACTGGCTTTAATGCCATTTCAGAAAGTGTGAGCCAGACTTTATAGAAATAAATGTTAATTAACCTTTCTTAAATGGAGCTGAGGGTGGTTTGCCCCATTTATACTAGCACTTACCCATTTTCAATAGTTTCAAGAGGACCATTGTTAAACTTTTTTCCTATACGTTGATTTCAAGGTCTTGCACTCACACCATTTGTAAATTTTCTGTCCTGAGAGGGAGGAGTATTAAAACGAGGGTTGCACGGGGTGTGCTGGCACTGCACAAGTGTTCCAGTTGTCTCCTTTTACCCTTCCTCGGAGTGTTTCTTAAAGTCTCAAACAGTCACTGCCACCAGGAAATGTTATCAGATAGAAAACATGGCAGTTTAGATAAAGTGAGTTTCTGCAATTCTTATGGATTGCTTATGTCAAAACAAAATTATCTCCTTCTGTGGCCCAGTTAATTTAATGAGATCCCAATTCATACTCTTGTTTTCACTCATCATCCCAAATAAATGAAGAAAGCATGATGTGATATCCCACATACTGAATTGAGATACCAGAAAACTATACAGGTTTGTCACTGTTGCAAAACTAGTGCAAAATTGACTGTCTCTTCTCACAAATGCAGTAGTAGTTGTAGTAGTAAAGCAATGGAGAAGCGGGGGTTGGGACTGGACTAGCAGAGGAAGAAATGACAGACTCTGTGGAATTCACTAAGGGCTTTACTATTACTATTGATTTCACATGAAAGGTGCTCATACTATGGTGATGGGTGACAGCATAAAATCTTGAGGCGTATAGACAGACTAAGGTGCATTGACAGAGCTGATTCTCATCACTTTCAGCAGCAGTAATATGTACCCCCTTCAAATAAAAACATAGTTAATATAATCTAAAACCTGTTAAACACTGCTCGCTGGCAGCTCATGTTTACTGCGAGACACAAACTTCATCATAAAGAATAAACGTGAAAGTGAACTCAGGGCATTGACATGGTTTTTTAGGGATCATGCAATAGGGAAGCAACATGAAGCAAGACCTTTTCAGTTGCACAATATTTGAGACGCACCTGCGTGTAGTTTTTCTACTTGACTCCATACCAGTGACTTTGTAAGCCTTTTCCTGCTTCTGAGGAAAAGTATCCTGCATATTGATTAGTGACCTCATGTTGGCCAGCATTGGGTGCTTGTACAGTTTGGACCTCCTTGGTTCAGTATCCTCGGGACCCAACTGGCCCTGAACCACGGCATTTTCCTGACCAGGAGAGGCCAATTCCAGCCCCTCTGCTGATTGACTCCGGGCTCTGGCAGGACCATGGTTGTTGCTGGATCAGTGAGTCCTGAACCAGAGAGGCTCATCCTGTAGCTATCTTTTCGTATGATGGTGATGGTGCAGGGTGTATGAGGTTCAGGTAATCTTGAGAAACCTTTCAAAAAAGTGGTGAATTAAAGATATCAGAAGCAATAATGCCTCAGAAGCCACTTGTAACCAGTGAATTAATGACTTGTTTGCTAATTAGCAGCCCAAGGCAAAGCTGAGGCAACACTCCTAACAATGTGGTCATTAATTCACTAACAACTGATTTCAAGGGCAGTGTTGCTATTTTGAACAGTAATTGTATTCATGCTTCTGAATTATATGGGGTGTGTGTGTGAGATGCTTCTATTTATTATGGAGTGTTAAATTATCCTCATGGGGTGATTGGAGAATATGAGAGATACTGAGGATACAGATAGACGTCCTGAAGGTCAAAGGTTGTATATTTCAATGTGCACTGAATCTTCTCCTCCTGAGGAAGTGAAAGTCATGCCATAGCTATACAAGCCTCCAACATGGTGAACTGTCTCCCCAAAGATCAGTGTCCAAGCTGCATGATGTTATTGACTGCACCCTTCTTTTTCTTGTAGAGCGCAAGAGATCATTTTATAGCATCATCCTCTAGGGAGCATTTTATGGATGATCAAAGTTCTTCAGCTAAAATAGATTTTCATGTAAACAGTGGTACTACCAGTAGCTTTCTGCATAATTCCATTAACTATGAAATCTCACCGTCAGTAGATCCCCAGCCTAATCACAGTATGCCTAGGCTTGCTGGAATTTAGTTCACGCCTCCCATCTTTACCTTCTGCTTCTTCCCTGTGTCCTGAGGCTGAACTCTGGAGGGTCTTCATTGTATGATGGGACAATGCACATCTACTTTGTATCCAACTCTTTAGGCCCATGTCTAATTTGGCAAAAATGCAGCACTCAGGAGACCTTACTGACTCCAGAATGGATCATAGGGATAAGGTCCATAGGGCTTTTGGAGAGAACTTTTCAGCAGTAATTGGTTATGTACTAGGGCTCACTGACTATCATTAATAGCTGGAGGCAGTCACCCTGGAGATGGTGCACGTCATGTTAACTTGTATGAGAGACATTTGATGCCAGTTTGAAAGCATATGGTTTTCTATTAATTGAAAACTATGTTGACTTAAGCTGTTTTCCATTGGAATTTCTTGTGTTCTTTAAATGCTTTGTTGAGATTGCATTGCTTGCCAAGACTTCAGTTCAAAGCTTTGTGTCTCTCCTGAAACAGCAGTGTTTCCAGTGTGTAAAAGGATGGGTGAATGGTGGTGGTTTCAATAGTGAATAAAACACACAACATAGTGTAATGCTGTGGAGCTGAAGGCATCACATTATGCATGAGGTGTAATCCTAAAGCTTAGATTGCAGAAACTGCCTTGAGGTCTTTAAGCTGAGATGGTTAGCTCCAGTGTCCCACCTAAATTCTAATTTGGGTAACTTAATTCTGTCTCTGTAAATGTTCCCTCCTGCTTCAGTACTATGAACTATTGTAGTGTATGTAATATCTAGTGTGGCTGTTAGTTGTCATGCCCACCCCAGAAATGCCTGCATTTTAATGGTAGGTGAATATATACTGTAGGAAGCTGCTATAGTGCTTAGGCACCTTTCATCCACATGGACTGCAATCTAAAAGTATGGCGGAGATGCAAGAAAGCATCTCTTTAGCATTGTGAGAATGTCACAAACTCCTCTCTTGCATAGCTCAGGTCTGGCAGGTACAATAAATGATGGTTGCTTTTGTAGTTTTTAAATTGGCATAGATTTAGCATTTTCTTAGTAGGCAGTTACCCCTAAACGCTGTAGCATTGACCATCACAGCATTTTGTGTTCTTAGGGCTGGTAATTCATGCATTCAATGAGCCGTACATACCACATTCCTGATCTGAGGTGTTAACTCTTTTTAAATGTTATCTTTTTTCCCTCCCAAATCCGTGTTTGGGTCACCTGTAGGGCTAAGTTTTGTTTCAGATGCAGTTACTGCATGCTATATTGTTTTTCTGCCTTATGGGAGCTCAGCCGTTCTCCTTTTCTGATTCAGAGAGCTCCTTCCAGCAATAAGGCTCTGACTCATTCCTGTATGGCTTCCAAAGGCCATTTTGCTGCTAACTTTAGACTCTTCATCTTTGCTTGTCAACCTTAGTAACTTGGCATCTTTGGATGAAATGGTGTGTGGTGTTTGCAGGCATGAGATCCAGTTCTGTTAACTTCAATATCTCCTGGCAAGAAAAAGAACAGGCTGTAATTTTCCTTTCCGCTTCAAAACTGGCAGAGTTCCTCCAAAGTCAATATCCTACATTCATCACTAGTAAAGAATTTACGTCCAAATATACATTTGAATTGCCTGTGAAAAAGTCTTTTCTATTCTACCATACAACTTGCCATCTGCCGCGCAAAATGCCAGTATAGATGAATAGTTACCTAGTTTGCAGTCTCAGTGGGATGGGGCCATGTCATCTTTTTCTTGCAGTTTGAGAGCACTGGTATTCAACAGATAACACAAGTTTTCACTGTTGTCGAGATTATATCAGTCAGCCACTGAAGTTACTTTGACTTTGTCGAGCAGAACAGACTGAGGTGTCAAATGAAGTCTTCTGGGGCACTCATTGGCGAAATGGAGAGTGATTGCTTGGGTTTAATGAGATTAAGAAAGCAAGTTAGAGCATGGGTAGTACAATGGTGTAGTGGACTGAGTACATTATGGGAGTCAGGAACTGTCAGTTCTAGACCCTGGTTTTTACGCTGACAACTAGAGCATCAGAGAAGTGAGGTGCTAAAAACAAGGTCCTAATAGAAGTAGTGGGGGCAAACCACTTACTTAATTTTAAGAAAGCGATGAACACATTTGTGAATGGAATTGTATGGCAGGGTTGATGGTGGTGATGCCTAAAATTCCTTCTGATTTGTGTTTTATGTTCCTAAAAACTCTTGTTTCAAGGCTTTAGCTGGTCACCTGCAGGAGTCAGGAAAGGGCTTGTACTGGGGGGAAGAAGGTGGTCTCCTTTCTCAACATGAGAGAGAGCCATCTTTGGAGATGGGACACTGGATAGGGTGGGACCTAGGCTCTGAGGTGGCTCCAAGTATTTTGTGTGTCTCATGCTTACCAGGCTGATTCTTGCTCTCATGCTCAGGATCTAACTCAGGGTGGACAAAAGCTTCTCAGTGGGCCAGATGCAGCCCGCTTAGGGCTTTGATCCGGCCCGCGCAGCAGTTCTAGGCTCTGCCCCATAGTGTGTTGCCTGGGAGCCAGAGGCACGTGAGTCTTTTTAACTGCTTCTGTTTAAAGGGCTCGCGCTTTCCCTGTGCTTGTCAGGTAATGCATTGCCTGGCCGCCGTGGAAAAGGTGTGAGCCCTTAAATAGAAGTAGTTGAAAGGGCTCGTGTGTCCTGGCTCCCTGGCAGTGCGCTAGCAGCACTGGGATCTGCGAGCCCTTTTAACTGCTTCTATTACTGGCAGGCAAAAGGTCGTTAAATAGAAGCAATTAGAGTTACCAGATGGATTAAAAAAAATACCGGACACACTTGATCTCAGATGGGGGAGGAAGGGAACCGGCCGGGAGGAGAGCCGCCGGGAGGAGGTCATGGAAAGCGGGGCTGCCCGTGGGAGATTGAGGAGAATCAGCTGGCGGGAAGCAGGGCTGGTCGGGAGGAGCGGGCGGGAGTGGGGAACCAGCCAGCATGGAGTGGGGCTGGCCCAGGTGCATGCAGATCCTGGGGTGCTGCCTGTCCTGCGCATGGTCCCAGCAGGGTGCACAGGTGAGTCTGGCCCAGGGGATTCCATCCCAGCTCTGGCCCTCTCCTGTCTACCTGTGTAGTTGCGTACTGCCTAGCTGGTAGACACACTCACTCAGTGTGAATGGATCTACCAGCCAGGCAGTACGCAACTACATACTGATACTCATGATGATAATAAAACTTATTTAATTAGCAAATACCAGACATCTATATGTCCGGTATATTCTCAATTTATTTCCTGGGCAGAAAGCTCAAATACTGGACTGTCCAGTTGAAAACCGGACACCTGGCAACCCTAGCAAGCAATTGAAAGGGCTCAGTGCCCAACAGCATGCTACCCCATTTCCTGGGAGCCAGGGATGCACGAACCTTTTCAACTGCTTCTATTTAAAGGACTCATGCCTTCCCCGGGGCTGTCAGGCAACAGCCCCTGGGAATGCACGAGCCCTTTAAATAGAAGCAGTTGAAATAGTTCTAGCTTCCCTGGCTCCCAGGTAACGTGCTAACAGCGAGACTGGGAGTAGTGACCCCCTTTCACCTGAGGCTCCGCCCTTCTGTCCAGGGCCTGGGGCGGCCCATGACCACTTCAAAAAATTTTCATTCCTAAATTATTGCCCACCCCTGTTCTAACGGATCACCAAATGTGGGTTCAGGAAGGAATCTTCCCCCAGGCCAGACTGGCAGTGACCTGGGAAGTATTTTGTCTTCCTCTGCAGTATAGGTTATGGGTCACTTGCTGGGATTATCTGTATTGCAGGGCCTTAGGCATTGGTGCACCTCAGTCTCTTCTATTCTCTGTGTGAGACATGTAGTTTAGTATCCTGTGGGCTGGAATATTCTTGTCTCGTTTCAGTTGTTGGCCTTAGTATGTGGGTGCAGGGCTAAGTTCCCTTTAAGCTGCACAGTAGGCTATAAATGATTGTGCAGGCATGCAGCCACAGAGGCCCAGAGAGGAGCAAGCTTAGGCATGCAGGGCTGCTGCAGGCCTCTCAACTGGCTCTGGAGCTGCTGCCAGCAGGGAGAAGGCTGGTGGGAATCCTCTGGTCCTACTTCCAGGGCAGTCTGCACCCCAGGCCCAACCCTATACCTTAGCCCTGTCTTAGTCCTGCACCCCAAACCCCTCAGCTCCATCCATGCCACACATCACCTCCATATTGGTGCACGTAACAAAATTCATTCCATACATGGATATAAAAATTAGAGGTAATGTTCGTGCTGGGTGGTGGTGTTAGCCTGTGATTATACTGGAGGTCAGATTAAATGATCATTTCTGGCCTTGAGCTCAGAGTTTGTAACTTTGGACAAGTCAGTTAACCTTGCTGCTTCAGTTTCATCATCTGTGAAATGAGAAGAATAGCTGCCTCACAAGGGTATTTATGAAATGTCATGTTAAACATAGGTGCTATTATTGGATATTAAATATGATATTATTAGATATTAAAAATAGCAGTGTGGACATTCGGGCTTGATCTGGAGCCTGGCTTGGGAAGGACATTCGGGCTTGATCTGGAGCCTGGCTTGAAACCTGACAAGAGGGAAGAGTCTTGGACCCCGAGCTCCAGCCCAAGCATCTATACTGCTCTTTTTACCTCTGACATGGGCTCTGAGACTCTCGCCTGCTCGTCTTTTTTTGCTGTGGAGACATTCCAGAAGTACAAAACTCCTTTTATCTTAGGTGAGGACTTGTGATTAATTTATCCTTCGATACCTTGATTGATGGATGAGTTCAGAGTCATCAAGAGGTCTGGTTCATATATATGTGTGCAGTGCAGTTAATAACCCATAGCTGACCCAGGCCAACTGATTTGAGTTGTGGGGCTGTTCAGTTAGATGTCCAGGCTCAGTCTGTAGCCCTGGCTATAGGACCCTGCGAGGTGGGTGGTCCCAGAGCTTGGGCTGCAGCCCAGGCTAGAATGGCTACACCAGTGGTGCGCAACCCATGGGTCACGACCCCAAAGGGGGTTGCGGATGTGTTCCTGGGGGGGCCCCATAGTGGTGGGCATAAGACCCGGATGCTCGGATCTAAGCGCAGCGCGGCACAAATTACCTTGGGGGTTGTGACACGAGTACAATAAAATATGGGGGTCGGGGTTGAAAAAAGGTTGTGCACCACTGGTCTACACCACAATTAAACAGCCACGTAAGCCCAAGTAAGCTGACAGAGGCATGGCGTGAGTGTCTGATTGTAGTGTAGACATAGCCTGAGTTTAGCAGAAAAGGTAGCAGAAGGAAATTGGTATACGGAAGGCCTGTAAGTCAGGTACTTCTTGGATCACTAACTATCCTGTGCCCCACGAAACACACCAAATTTCAAACCACTTAAAAATCTTCACATTTATTCAGAAAGACAAGGTGGATGAGGTTATAGTTTTTATTGGCTCAACTTCTGCTGGTGAGAGAGACATTTGTCTCTTCCACCAGTAAAATATATCACTTCACTGACCTTGTGTCTCTAATGTCCTTGGACTAACATGTCTACAATGACACTGCAAACAACAGATTTTCAAGAGGCATTTATAAGTGTTGAGTTTAAAGTTTATAAAATGGTGGGCATGGAAACTCCTCTTACTGTTTTTCTGTATTGGTGCATGTGCAATGTAAAAAGTGTGCAATTGCTTCATGTTGGATTTCCCCAAACATTTGGTGGATACCATATGTGCAGATGAGGGGGAAAAAATGGTGCCCCCAGCTCCTCCCCATCCCTCTGTGTCTCCTGTCCACCAGATATCAGTTGTTCTTGATCAGCTGTTCCTCAGCATTCAGGAGGTGCTGGGGCAGGGAGAGCAGGGGAAAGGGTTGCAGGAGGGCAGGTTCTGGGGCAGAACTATGGGTGTCAAGCACCCTACAGCGCATTAGAAAGGTAGTGTTGTGATGTGCAACATACATTAACTTGGGTCAAATTGGCCAGATGGAGGTCAAAAAAATCTCAATCACATCACATTTCCCCCCCTACCCCGCCTAGCCCCAAATCTCTCTCACAAGGCGCCTCTAGAATATAGTAATTGCTTCACCCACCACTGAAATACAGCTCTGTCTGGGGTAGAATGGAGCAACTATTTAGTTGCAGTGCCGCACAACTGTTCATGCTGACTGGAGGTAAAGCAGCTACTGTATCTACTGTAAACAGCACAGGGAATTCCAAGAGGCAGAATTTAGTTGTTTGAGCTGGAATTATCCAGAACACTGAGTTGAATGGCATTATCCTGATGAGAAATCCCAAGGGTGGTTCTTTCTATTTTGGTCCACCTTGTCCTTTTATATGACATAATCTAGTATTTGTCATAGCAGATTGGGCCTTAGTTCTGCCTACTCTGGTAACCAGTCCACAGGAGTGTCCAATCCTGATGCTTTGGAAAAAGGTGAAATCGCATCAATTGAACAATGTTCTTGAATAGAGAAGAGCAGAAAAATTTTCTTCCTGTCTATGCTCCTAGCACATACCGTTTGGTTAACTCATCTTAGCAGGGATGTGAAGAATGAGAGGGGTATTACTCTTTTCTGGATATCCCAGCCATTCGGTTAACTAAATTGACTGTAAGGCTACGTCTACACAGCTTCCTTCTTCTGCAAAAGCCTGTGCAAATGAAGTGCGGATTAGCATATTGCCACGCTTCATTTGCATAATTAATTAGGAGCCATTTTTGTGCAAGAGGTTTTTGCACAAAAAGGTACCGTCTACACAGTGCCTTTTTGCGCAAAACCCCCCTCTTTCGCAAGAGCCATTCTTCATTTTTTCTGGAAGAACATTTTCTTGCACAAGAAGGGGTTTTTGCACAAAAAGGTGCTGTGTAAATGGTGCTTTTTGCATAGGCTTTTGCAGAAGAGGGAAGCTGTGTAGATGTAGCCTATGGGTTAAACCCAGAGACAATGGGTCTCCAGGAAGTGTCAGTAGGGAACCAGGCAACCCAACAAAAAGAGTGTGAGCTTTTGAAAAAGCAGGATCTGCCTGCTGCAGTCTTGTGTGTGGGAGAGCAAGAGCTGAGAGAGATGAGTTAAGCCAGTAGCAAGGCATGGAATTTCCAGGGATATTCATGCCTAAGGAAGGACTAAACAGTGGAACATTTAGATATGTGAGTAAACCGAGAATGTTTAGTTAGACGTGAGCAGGTTATTTCCTTTAATTTTTGCTTTGTGGGACTCCCCTGTGCTGCGCCCAGATACCCCTCACCCGATACACTGTAACTTTTAAATGGAATCCCAGGGAAGCAATTTCAGTTGCTCTGTAACAGCTAGCAAACAAGTATGCTTTACCAAGTATGTTCTCTTTGTTTTGTTAATAAAATCTCCTTTTTAATACAGTACTATGATCTAATTCCCATGTCCCAGAAGGCAGGAGGTTCTCTGTGCGTTTGCCTGAGACTGAAAGGTCAGCTCTTAGGAATTTTAAGTTTGTTTTCAGTCTCTCTCCTGAGGAGAGTTAAACGGCTTGGGGACACCCCACAGAAAGAAATTATCTAGTGCATCTTCTTGGGTTCTCATTTGGGTAGTGGCAGTATACCACCCAAAGTCAGGGAATCTGTTGCCTTGGAAGTTGTATTAAGCAGAAGCCATTACTGGCAGGGTAATTTAAAATCTTTTGCAAGCCTGCAAGTTCTTCACTCGAAGTGCCGGTGTGGGGAACAGCCGTGACAAAGTGGAATGGAATATTATTGAATTATGGAAGACGAAGATTAAAGAAATCTATTTAGATCATCCACTAAATAGTCACCAAATAGCCATCCCCTTTTGAATTCTAGCTATGTTATTGAACTGACCTGCTGGGGCAGGGAATTCCAAAGGAAGCAATGACGTCATAGCGCTGTATTTGTGATATTGCAGCATCCTGTATTGTACAGGTAGTCCCCGGGTTACGCGGATCCAACTTATGTTGGATCCGTACTTACGAACGGGGCTTTTCTCGCCCCGGAGGACGCGGGCGGCGGGACCGCCGCCCGCGTCCTCCGGGGCGAGAAAAGCCCCGTTCGTAAGTACGGATCCAACATAAGTTGGATCTGCGTAACCTGGGGACTGCCTGTATTGCTCTGGGATGGTGCTGGAGATGAGGGGTTCAGTATGCAGGCTGTCTCCTCCCTGGTCTGCTGGGGGGGCGCAGCAAGAGCGCCCCCCAGCAGACCAGGCTTTTCTCGGGACGCCTGTGGTAGAGCAGCTGGGGCGCTGCCGGTTGGTCCCGCAGCGCCGCTCTCGGCGCTACTGGACCACCCCGGCAGCACCCCAGCTGCTCTGCCCCAGGAAACTGATCAGCGGCTGATTCCAGGAAGCCCGGGGCAGAGCAACTCTGCCTCGGGCTTCCTGTAGTCAGCCACTGCTCAGTTTCAGCAGCGGCTGAATCTGGACGCCAGTTCCGACTTATGTACAGATTCAACTTAAGAACAAACCTACAGTCCCTATCTTGTACGTAACCTGGGGACTGCCTGTAGTTCTTTGCCTGATCACAAGCTGACAGCTTCCCAATTAGTTTCCGTAGCTATTTTCTTTGTGGCAGTGAGTTTGTTATTTAGAAATGAAATACTTCAAGTGTGTTTAATGTTTGGCTGTAAACGACAAGGAAGAAAAGAAGAAATCTTTTTGTCCTGTTAAGTGTATTCCTCCAGAATTACTTTTCTGACATCTTAAAAAGAAGACACCTGTGACATTCCAATATTATCAAAGGGAGAATGCAGTTTTCCAGGTCAATTAGCCACTTAGGTTTTTGTATATGTGCAGTATTATACTACAATATGCCACAGTATCTGACCATTGCACCAAAGTGCACACACTAAAATATAGCATGCTTTGTGACACAAAAACATCCCACCATGTTATTCCCAGCTCCTTTAGTTGTACTAACACTTTCTCCCATCAAGACAGCACACTAAAAATAGTTGTGTAGCCAGGTAGTGTAGGCAGCAGTGAGTGGTGGCATGGACTAAGTGTGCCAAGCAGACGTGTTCTATGGATATGGCGAAACGGAGCAACTGCTCTAGGCCCCGTGCTTCAGTATGTGTGTGTTATGCAGGGCTTGGGCTCAGTCTCTGGCAGCAGCAGCTATAGGAACACCCATGGACAACTAAAGGTAAGTGCTCAGCACCCATTGGGAAGTCCTCTATCTGTGTATTCTCTCCCCTCACCCCGGGAGGGTCCTGCAGATCAGCACCTTTCCCTCCCTCCCAGTGCCTGCTGTGGATCAGCTGTATCGCTGCTGTGTCAGGAAGTTCAAGGAGGGGAATGAAAGAACAAGGAAGCAACACTCTTTGGGGAGGGATGGAACTGAATGGGAAGAAGCAGGGTGGGGGTGAGATGTTGGGGGGGAAAGGATGGAGTGGGGGTGCGGTCTGGGCAGAGTTGAAGGGAGCACCTTTTGACAGACTGGAAACAAAGACTGATTTGTTCCAAGACCTGCACCCCCATAGGGTCGGTCCTGGTCCAGCCATGTGCTGACAAAGTTCAGGCAGTTTTGTACTCAGTATAATTAGCCTGTGCCACTGCCATACTATCTCAGTTATATAATTTTTTTTCTATGTAAGCCAGGATTCAAAACCCCAGCTCATGGTGTGCAGACATATCCTATGACCTGCAACACTCTGAGCTATCTATGCTTTGCAGGCCCACTGATGGATGGGGGAAAGGCAAAGGCGGCAGCTCCCATGGAGCCCAGTGGTTTAAAAGGCTCCAGGACTCTTGGCTGCCGCCACCGCTACTGTAACAACATCAGCGGGTGGAACTCCAGGCCCTTTAAATCGCAACCCAAGTCACTGGTTGTGTGCTACAGGTGGCACTGAAGGGCTGGCTGTGGGGAGGCAGCCTTCAGCCCTTTGGCCTTGCTCCTTCTAGATGCCTGGAGTCAGCACCCCACTGCTTGCCCAGGGCCCAGAGAATTCTGTCTGTTGCCCTGATGCCCTATGCCCTCCTACGGCTCTGTCAATGCACTTCATTCCTGACCTCCCACATCACCTTGGTATCTCAGTCCTGGCCTCCTCCTTGAATACATGCATGGAAATGTCTAGGTTTAGAGTCCTGCCTCTCCTCCCCCACAAACTCCTTTGTAATTGCAATATACAGTTCAGTCTGAACGCAGTTCCCCAGATGCAACATGCTGTGGCATCTTTTCACTACGTCTGGGACCTCTGTAACAATCCACTAGTTTACTTGTATATAGTAACAGACAAGAAATTGCTTTCCTGCACTGCCCTATGGGACTGAATATCCTAAATTGACAAGGCTAGATCTTTACTTTGCTGGTGTATTTTTAGCTGCAGGATAAAACAGCGAATATTGTTAGGAGTTAGGGTGGTGGTTTTTTCAAAAGAACTACGTCTAGACGGCGGTTTCACTTTCAAAATACCCTTTTTCGAAAGACCACTGTGATGCGATTATGCAAATGAAGTATGGGATATTTAAATCCCCGCTTCATTTGCACTTTCGATTTGCCTAATTTACATCCCTCTTTCAACAGAATGATATAGTTTAGACATACCCTTAGTCTCTTCTTTCTAGATGCAGCATGCTCTCCTCTCCACACCTCCACCTCCCAATCCCATGATCTTCCTCCTAAAGCAGGCAGCCTTCCACCAGCAAACAGCCGGGCTCTTCTCCATGGTGTGTTGCTCTGTCTTGTTCCTGCATCTGGCCTAGGTCCCAAGGATCTTGCTTTAATCTACCCCTGTAATAGCTGGTTGTCTCAGAGTATGTGTTGGGGAGGGGAAAGTGTTACTTTTTTATTAATTGACAAACATTCTGACAAGCACTATTTTACTAGCCCAGAACTTATAGTGGAAACTCTTTAGGAACCTTGCTTTAACCTCCCGGGCACTCTGCCCTTCTTCATTGGGTTTATATTCACACAGAGATGAGTTTGCCAAGACATGAATGCAGCTGTTGGCTGGAGCAGCAGTTACCTGCCACTGCTGAACAGCCAAGTGAGGGTTAAGGAGTAAACCTCTTCTGAGCCACTAGATTGGTCCTGACTAAGATGAATGTCTAATTCACTCCCAGCGTCCTTACTGCTGCCAGTAATAAAAAGCTTGCTTCACATATTCACCCCACTGCAGACGTTTCTCTTAAATTAAATATCAGGAGGACATATAATAGCACAATCCCATGCCAAGCCAATATTATCAAATTGATGTCAGCAGTGATAATAGAAGAAGGATAAGTTGATGAGATTCAATTTATTAAATAAAGGGAATACACAGAAAGACATAGAAATTGGTAACTCTCAGTGTGTTAAAATGCAGCAAGATCTCTCTGGGTCCGTGCTTACCTCAAGGGATGGCAGAGAGAAAGATGCCCTTTGTTTCATTTAAGAAAACCTCTCCCTTTTTTTCCAGACAAAGACCTGATTTAGCTTACTCAGTGGGAGGGGGAGAGGAGGATCTGAAATCCTGGATTTCATGTGTACACAGCCTTCCTTCCCATTGGACAGCAGAGAATCAAAGGTTTGTTTCCCCCAGTTTAATGAGAGAGGCATAACTAATGAGTTATTTTATTTTTAGTTTCAGCTGTTCCTCTTTCCACCTGTTGACATATACCTTGTCAGATGGAAGCATAGATTATTGACTTAGCTTTTTATATTGCAAAGTTTCATTTTTCTTCACAGGGCATCGTTCAGGCTCATGACCTTGTAACCCTTTCTCCTGTCTTTTCTCCCAGCATTTGTAGCTAAACCTTTTATATCAGTTTTAGGAACATTGATGTGAATTATAATTCAAGATATTAAACAAGGTCTAAGAGCCTAGTCTTCTCTGGAGCTTGAGCAACCTTTTTTAAAATTTTTTAAATTTTTTATTTTTTTAAACGAATATATATATTTTTCCTTTTTAAAAACAGAATAAGCCTTGAACCTTTCCAAAGAAAGCACCAATGTGTCACTACATCTAACCCCTTTTTGTTGAACACTGTATCTTACCAGTAGCAGCCCTTTAGGGGAGGGGGGACGACTAGAATGCTGTCTTTTCTCAGAGAAGTCAGCTACAGCCAATAGGCTCAAACTGAGGGAAAAGGTACTTCAGAGGCCACAATGAGGTATCATTCTCAGTGGATTATGAGGGTGCCCACTTGGCTCCCTCTCATGAGGGTTCAGAAACACTTCTGAGCAGGGCAGATGAAGGCATGAGCACATGGAGGTCTTGGGGTCATAGTCCTCAGTGATGTCACAATCACAGGTCTCAGGTTTAAAAGTCACAATTAAAAACGTGATCCAAGAGGAAGCAGTGCAGTGGGGTCTGCCTGAAGCTGTACTAGCATTGAACAAAGGGAGGAGCAGCAGTCATTGGAACTAGGGAAAAAACTGCTTAGCCCTACATTCACCACCAGAGCAGTCCAGGCTCCCCTTTTTTTGAGTGAGCATGGTGGGGCCAGGCAGGTGTAGGCTTAGGTGTCCCACTGGTCTCTCCAGGAGAGCCTTCCCTTTGTTGGGGTTCCCACATACCCCTGTACTAGGCTCTTCCTCTCTAGTTTCTTAGCTCCACAGGTCAGATTGAGGGCTGGGGGCAAAATGGTAGAATCTCCTTGATGCTATCTGCTTATAGCACCAAAATCAGCTTTCATTTGTGGTAGATCGTGCAGATCTGTGATCTTCCAGCTCCTTCTAACATGCTTTGATCAGCAGTGAGATACAGACCTGGCATCTAAATTGTTATTGGTAACCTCATAAATAGCACAGACCTCCCCTGTAAGAGCTATTGTTTTAGGCTATTTACATACTCAGGCAGACTTATTACATTCAAAATTAAGTTTTTCTGTACAATTATGAGATTCATTGAGTGAAAGCAAAGGCCCTGTCTAAAGACAAGTTCTTCTGATTTACCATAATAAAGTTAAGAAACAGACTTACTAAATCAATTTGAGTGCCTTACATCATGGGTTCTCAAACTGTGACTTCCTTCTTAAAAAAAAAAAACCAACCTAATTGACCTGAGGAAGGGGAACCGACGCCTGAGCCTTCATAAGCCCTGGGGAGTAGAGGTCCCAAAGTCCAAGTCCCTCTGCTATGAGTAGGGGGACCGAAACCCTCTGGCTTTAACTTTGGCACCACATAATAGAGCTCAGGCTTTGTCCCTGGGTGCCAACAAGTCTAAACCAGCCCTGGTGACCCCATTAAAATAGGGCTGTGGCCCACCCTGGGGTCCCGACTCACAGTTTGAGAACTACTGCCTTAAATTCATAATTGACTTAACTGACTTTGGATTTTATTCCTTTAAGTTCATTAATCTAAATCTATTCTGTTAAATTTGTGCAACTTGTGTGTACATAAGGCCTTGGTTTTCATTTTGAAACACATGAATTTATTGAAGGAGTTGCTATATAAACTCTCTGCTTTTTGGGCAGTTCTGTGAAGTGGTAGCAATATAGCTGCCTCTCAAGCAACCTCTTTCATTTAACATGGGTCGATCTCCTGCAGGGGAGAGGCAATGGCAGGCATCTCACCAGCTTCTTTCCATGGCTTCTTTCTTGGTTTTGTTTTTAATTCTGTACAGTAGGGATGTGAAAGTCTAACCATGTACATGGTTAATCAATGAGCTCATCAGTTAACCTTAACAGTTGCATGCAGGCTATTGGTACATGTGGGGAACCTGCTTAAAAGCTGGCTCTTGGCATGCACTGACTCCCGGGGAGCCACCCTCCCCCTGAAATTTTCAGCAGTTACACGTTTACTTAAGTAAACACATTTTAACATCTCTACTGTACAGTGCTGCCTGCACAAGACAGTGCCATGAGCCTTCAGGTGTGTCCTAACTTGTTATTGATCTTAGTGAAGGCAGGCACCATAGCTGGTACAGGTGAGGAACCAGCAAATAAAGGCTTACTGACTCTCCATTCTGAGACTAGCAAAATGAAACCTTAACACTCTCTAAAATGTGTCCACCCATCTGAGATGCTGATATCACACTGTAACATACAGGTGAATATAGAGATGAATGATTTCATAACATATTGTATCTGCCTTCCTTCTTGTAGTATAAAGTTACAAAATACACTTTAAGTTTTTTTTTAACATGCTGAGTTAAAACCTAATTTTAAGAGTCTTAACTTTCCCAGTGAATTGAAGGATTTGGTGGTATTTCCTGACATAGCACTGTTTGGTATTGTTTCCAAGGATTCATTGAGTTGATTAGAATTATATTAAAATTGCAGTAGCAGAGCAAAATGCCAACCTTATGAGTTTCTGAAATTCCCTGCAAGTTCTTTTCCATTTCAGACTTTTTGAAGGCTTTTAATTTTTTTTTTCATTTATGAACACAGTCCAGTGCCTAAGGATCCTACACAGGAATGACCTTCCTTATGAAGACCAGACCACTTGGAGGAGGGAGGGAGAGAGGGAGCAAAATTATTTGACCTTGTCTAATCCAAGCACAGCAATGTTACTGTTACTTTTTGTGCTGCTGCTGGTGTATAGGGCATGTTGTTCCTGATAAATGCTACAACTTTGCTCTTGAGACTTGGTGGTGTGACCGGTGCTGAAGGTGCACTTCTGGAACAGTATCTTAGTACAGTTTTCTCAGAGAAGTGTCCAGATCTTGCCTTTGAGCTAATATAATATTTTCCCTTCATTGTGTCCATCCTGTATGCAGCCTCAACCTAAAAAATATGAGGGTGGGAAATTCTTGTCTTAGCTCCCTTCTCCTCCATCCTCCTTACAATCAGAAAAGGATCCAAGAAACGCAATATTTTTAGTTTCTTTGCTACACAGAAAAAAACACGACTCAAATAATAGCTTGAATAGGTAGCAGGTACAACATCTAGACGCTCCCACTCAGTGTGTGTCTAGTTGTGCACTGAAGTCATAAAGATGCACAGACAGAGTTTTTGAGGCTCAGGAAATGAATGTGATTCCCTAGCACAGGATTACAACTTTCCTGTAGGACAAATGCTGTAGAAAGCAGAGCTGGGGCCTGTTCAGAGACAGACCTACAAATGTAGCAGTACAGAAAAAGTGGGGATTTATGGTGTAGTGAGTTATACCTCTTTCTATGTGCATTCCTCCTTAACATGTCCATACACTTGCACACAAGTTCTAAAGTGTGGTGAAAATCCTGCAGTTTGTGTTTGCCTGTCTGCGTAGATGATGACACTTTACTTAATATGTAAGTACCATCATTGATGGTGTTGTTTCACCTTTGCCTTCTCCATTGTTTGTATTCATGCCTGTGCATGTACATACACCATACACATCTTATTGTATGTGAAGCAGATCCCACGTTATCCCTGGGTGTGCATAGATATCACTTTTAGGATGACTATTAAATGCAGTAGGTCAGAAAATAAATGTATTTAGTTGCACTCTTACTCCCTACTTTTTCTAGCCATTAGAGTAGTCATGATGCCCTAAGTTTGCTATTTTGTTTTGGTTGTTTTTTGAAGTGCTTACATAGCTATAACTTAAATTGGAGAATGTGAGGTGGTTTGTTCAACAAGTCATAGTTGCTCTTCAGACACCTATCATAAGTCTGACAGTCATGGGGCATGACTGCAGCCTGAATAGAAATATCTGGATTAGCTTTAACTAGCTCATGTTCTGAAGCATTGAAGCCATGGTAGCATGAACTGCAGTGCAGACTGTGCAAACTTGTCCAGAACCCTCAATAACTACTTGTGGGACTAGCCCATGCTGAAACCTCTGCCACAGCTTTATTGCTCCAGCTACATTAAAGCTAACTTATGCCCGTCTACTGGAATTGCAGTCGCATACCCAAACCTGATCTTTTATGTTCTGTTTTGATGTGTTTAAATAGCTGTTATGTAGATTGGAGAATGCAGTGACTTACTCAACAAGTCACATTTGCTCCTCCAACTTTTAGGGTAGACTGCTTGTTGTTTTGGAGAATCAGGTAGTTCACCCCCAGATTTCTGGGATTTACCTCCAACTCTGCCAAAAACTTTTGTGTGTGTTTTGGGCAAATTATTTATTCTCTCTCTGTCTCTCTTCCCACTTGTTGAATGGGGATAACTCTTCGTAATCTCATGGGAGATTGAGGCTTGTAGTCCTCAACAGAAAGATACTGATAATGGTTGCCAGTATTCCCTGTAAGCTGGGCACTTGTGTCGGTGCTCAGGAGAAATTCAAATGCTTCCCCACTGATTAGCAGTGCACCCACAGCTAGGTTTTTGTTTCTACTGATGGTGCACGTTGGCACGTGCCTTGGTGCACATAAAAATGTATACCACACCTGGATGGAAAAAAATCTGCACATGGATGGAAAAGATTAGAGGGTATGTTGATGGTTGCTATTCCTATTGGATAATTTATTTTCTAAAGACTTTTCTGGTTGATCCTATGCTGGGGTTGGTATGTGTAAGGGGAACTGGGAGAGCTGAAGTAAGTAGAGAAACCTTATGCTTGTTACAGATCCACCTCTTCCCATTTTCCCCACAGGCGAAGGAACACTGAGCCTCTGTGTGCAGGACTGCAGTCTGAGATTCTGAAGTGCTACCAAGAAAACAAGCATGAAGTGCTCAAGTGCTCAGAGCTGGCCAAGGAGTACCAGCGCTGTGTTAGTGCAGCACAGAAGGTAACAGTAACTTCCCCACCACCTCCTGCTGGCTTCACTGTCCTCTCTGCCTAGTGTTTTCCTTATGGGGAGCTTTCTCAGATTGCTGTGGCTCTGATGGGAAGGTCAGAATGCTCACAGGCTTCAGTCTCTTCTGAAGACCTCCCCACAGGATGTGCAACTGACACAATTGTAGCAAGTGCTGATGTTCTAAATTAGCACCTTAAGATACTAATGCCAACCACTGGTGGGTTTCTCTTAACCTTCTAATGTGTTGTCTTATCACTTTTCCTCAAATCTCAACTTTTCTGATAGACCTTGCAAGCTACACCCTTCACATTTATGAGAGTAAAGCAGTATTTCCAGTACCAGCAATATTTTTTTAATGACCATAGGTCTAAGTGCTCTGTTTCTCAGTATTGCACCCCAGATTGAGAGACTTTCCTCTTATTGTTGCTGTTTCTTGTTAGTTTCTCTTATTGGCAAATTAGACCAAGGTGTTTCCTTTCAGGGATTAAGGGTATCCCAAAATTGCTGGCCCAGCAGAGTAAACCTGCACCCTTTATTATATGATTTTCAGAGTTAGCGTGCATACAGCTACCATTAACATCCATCAATTTTGACTGCTCAGCACCTTGGAAGAATTAGGCCATTAGTACTTGAATAAGAAGAAGGGAGTGGGAAGGATGCCCGGTTCACAGAGCACTTCCAGTGGGCTTTCAAATGGCAAAAATAGTCTTTGAGATGGTGGTGGATATAAAATACAGGTGTAATTTCTAGGGTGTAAGGAAAGAGGAAAATTGTCCTTCCAGGTACAGGGCCATTTGCTCCGATGGAGCATTTCTTGAAGGGTTTATGGTGGG